TGTCCCTCAGACCCTCTCCTCTCTGTTGCCTGTAACAAGAATGGGTTCATAATATATCATATCCAATGCACATACAAGTATTTGAGGGTGTGTGTGCGCACATGCGCACGTGTCCTTTTTAAAACATAAAAAGTACGATGCAATGTTACTTAGCCTTTTATTTTTTAGCTTAATATATCTTGGAGAGTGTTCTGTATCAGATAAAAATCTGCCTAGCTTTTTAAAATGACTGCCTCATGTGCCATTTTTGGCTTTAGCAGAATTTAAATACCAGACTCTATTTAACTGGTCTTCATGTGGTAGACAGGTTAAATGGTTTGTTTCTGGTCTTTTGCTCTTGCAGATGTTTTTGCAGAGACCAACTTCTGAGTCTCCCTGTGGGCACACATGTGGGTGTTCCTGATATGGCTGTTTCTGGCTGTTGTGGGGCAGCCCAGGAATTGTGGCAGGAGGCAGGGGGTGTTGGCCTGGTGGGAATCAATGCAGCTGGCTGGAAGACAGGACTGATGGTGATGGAACATCCCCTCCTCTGCCCTGTGTGTTCCTATGGCCCATCTCTCTGCAAGGGCCTCCTGTTAGCCCTCAGCTCAGAGGGCAGACTTACCTGGGCAGTGCCTCTGAACATGACCCCTGAACATGGCCCCAGAAACAGATGTGGCCCAAGGTAAGAAACATAAGAGTAAGAAAGAAATTAAATCGCCTTTTGGATTTTTTGCCTTATATCCTGATGATTTAGCCCAACCAGGTCACCAGACTGTCCATCTGTAATCTGAGGGAAGAAAGAGAGAGTTGGTTGGAGGTGGACATAGGATCTATGGAGCTCACCCAGTCATCTCATTCATCTTGCTCTGGGGTGGGCCAGAGCTCCTATATGTGATGTATATTCCCTGCCTCTAGATATGGTCAGGGTCATTATTGTCCTCTCTGATCCCCAGTGAACACAAGCATTGCCTTCTCTAGCCCTATCCATCCGTCCATCCATCCGTCCATCCATCCATCCTTCAATCCTTCATCCATCCATCATCCTCCCATCTACCCATCTTCCCATCCATCCATCCATCCATCCATCATCCCATCCATTCATCCTTCATCCATCCATCTAACAGATATAATTGAGCACCTACTATGTGCCAAGTGTCAGAGCTACAATGTTAAACCAAACAGATAAAGCTGACTCTTCCCTGATAAAACTTGCTTTCTAGAACAGAGAAAGAGGCAAACACTAGGTCATTCCAGATGGGTCTAAGTGATATGGAGGAAATAAACAGGTTAATTTTTGAGTGCCCAGAGGGTGTAGCATACAGTCCAGTGGACAGAGAATTAGGAAAGGCCTCCCTGGGAGTGGAGCCCTTGAGATGATGGTAAGATGATGTAGACCTTGAGAGTGCTCCAGGCAAAGGTCCTGGAAGGAGAGTGTGTTCTCTCTGAGGAGTCGGTGGCTGTGTAGGAGCTGAGCAGAGGGGAGGGGAATGAGAGAGTGGTGCCAATGAGGTGAGTAGGTGAGGACACATCATGCCAGACCTCATAGGCCGTGGTGGGGAGGTCGGGGGCCATCAGACTCATCAGCTCGTTTTGGCAAAGGCGTGGCATCATCCAACTGTTTTAATAAGATTTGACTTTGAATGATGGATCACAATGCAATATATAGGTCATATATCATAGAAATGTACTCTTGAAACCCTTATGATCTCATTAACCAATGTCAACCCAATACACTTAATTAAAAAAGAAGACTCTTCAACTGCAGTGCAGTACCACCTCACACTCCTTAGAATGGCAGCGATCAAAAAACCAGAAAGTAATGTGTTGACGAGGTTGTGGAGAAACTGGAGCCCTGGGGCACTGCCGGTGGGAATGTAAAATGGTGCAGCTGCTAGGGAAAATAGTGCGGCAGCTTCTCAAAAAGTTAAACAGGAAAACCATAGGATTCAGCAATTCTGAGCATGTACCCCACAGAAGTGAAAGCAGGGATTCCAGCAGGTGTGAACCCCTGTGGCCATGGTTCATAATGGCCACCAAGTGGAAGCAACCCAAGTGTTCATCAACAGATGAATAGATGAGCAAAAGATGGCAGATCCATGCCATGGAATATTATTCTGCCTTAAAAAGGAAGGACATTCTGATACAGAGAGGAACCTTGGGGACAGGATGCTAAGTAAAATAAGCCAGTCACAAAAGGACAATTATTGTATGATTCCGCTCATCTGAGATTCCTGCAGTATCAGATGCATAGAGACTGGAAGTGGAATGGTGGTTGCCAGGGGCTGAGGGAAGAAAGGGTGGGGAGTTAATGTTTCATGGGTATAGAGTTTCGGTTTTGTAGGATGAAAAGAGCTCTGGAGATGGATGGTGGTGGCGGCGGCTGCACAACAGTGTGAATATGCTTAATGCTACTGAATTGTACACTTGAAAAAATGGTCATAATGGTAAATTTTATGTCACGTGCATTTACCACAGTTTTTTAAATTTACAAGAGGAAAGGCTGCCCTATGAGAATGGCAGGGTGCACAAGCTGAGCGGGGACATGGGGGAGGAGGATCTGGGCCAAAAGTGATGGTTCTTAGACTGGGGTTGGCCCTAGTGTTGGGACAAGTCTACAGATTCGAGATCTGATTCTTGGGAGGCTGATCCTTCCATCCCAGAGGCCACTTCATGCCCTGGTCTCCCTCTTCCCACCAGAGAGGTTAGCACAGCCACTTCCCTGGCCCGGCCAATAGGCCTCACTCCTTCCTTTGAATGGTCCCTGCTGGTCTCCCCAAGCTGCCTTGTCCCCCAATGCCTTCCCCAACCCCCCTGGAGCCTGGGCCCCTTGGGGCCCATGTTCTATTTCCCATGCACTGTCCTGTTCTTGGCAAAGCAGGAAGAGCCTAGGCCCTGGCTCACAATGCTCCAAAACCCAGGTCGGTCATGGGAGTGCCTGTGTGACGTTGGGTTGTATTTTCAAAGTGAGCTTAGCTGATCTGCAGGATGATGAAGTTGCCTTGGAAACTCAAGCTCATTACTGAGGATGTTCAGGGCAAAAAGTGCTGACTGATTCCACAGCGTGCATCTTTCCCACAACAAAAATGTGCTCCATGGTAAAAAAAAAAAAATGGCAGACCATGACCTCGTGGTGATGTCAAGATTAGCGATGGTTATTTGCTTCATCTATTCTGCATTGGTTTTACTAAAAAACACAACAGTCAGATTCGGAAGACCTCTTATGCTTAGCATCAGCAGGTCCACCAAATCCAGAAGATGCTGGAAATCATGACCCGAGAGGTGCAGACAAATGACTTGAAAGAAGTGGTCAATAAACTGATTCCAGATCACACTGGAAAAGTCAGAAAAGGCTTGCCAATCTATGATGCCTTAAAAAAAAA